CACCCGCCCAATGCTGCTGTCAATCAGCAGAGGGAGACCTGAAGTTTTCCATCAGGTTCTCTTCTAGTGACTGACAGCAGCAGAGGGCGGGTGCAATAGCCAACTTGCTATTTGATATTGCAAACTGAAATAGCCAATAGCAATCTAGCTATTCATTTCTATGCTGTTTTTTTAAAAAAAAATTATTCTAATGGCAGCAGCTGAAATAGTTTTTTTCAGGTTGGGATCCCTGCAATTGTGCGCCTACATTGTCACCCTGTCACACGGGCTTCGGATGAAGACTATAAATATTAATTTCAACACATAATACACAGGCCTTGTCCACTGTTATAACCATCAGGAACTCCTCCCTAAGAAATGCATGCAGCTGTAGCCACCTTGCCCTAAGCAGGGTGACTACTTACATTTAGTTGTGCTCGGACTGTATCTAGTCTAGCTAATTACATAGTCTGTATTCATTTGGCTTTCCTGAAGGATTCTGTTATTGATTGCATTGGCCTGCTGCTGGGAGTAAACTTGCTACAGAGCAGAGCAACCAATAAGGAAGAATTATTGCTATCTACGTCTCCCCAGCCAATAACTAGAAGTTTCATGGCCATGGGTGCATGCTAGGGGAGGACATAAATATCTGGGTCAACCCATGTGAGAACTTCTTTCTCCCCCCGGCAGGAGGCCTGGGTGCATTATGTGAGCTGTCTGACCAGGCCTGTAACCTGCAGGTGGTCCGCTGTGGATCCAGACAGGGTTAGAAAATGTTCCTGGAATGGAGAGCCAGGGAAGAACTTCCATCTGCTGGAGGTGCCAGAGAAGCCAGGATGGGCATGGATGGACCTCAGAGATAAGTCTGGTGTCTCACCCAGGGGTGATCTGAAACATGTGTGCCGACCACCTATGGTTCTCTGATAACGTGTCAAAGTATTTTCGGTTTAAAGGCCCTTTGCACTGTGAAGCTGGAAAGTATTTGGTGAGTCTGGAGTTCTGTGTTGTCCAAGATGTCTGCAGCCCTAACCCTCTCTCATTATTTCTGCTGTTCATGGAATAAAGCATTAGAAAAATCCTTAAAGTGACTGGCACCCAAATTCTTTATTTTTGCTTGTACATCCCACCAACCAGCTCAGGACTCATTTCCCGAGGTAAAATGTCAGCTCCCCCTGCTCCCTGAAGTCAGGGGGTAGCGCACACAGCCATCAATGGAGTGCGTGTAGATAGGGAGTTGCTGCAAAGAGGCTGCAGCAGATCAACAGCCTGAGATGCAACCAAGGATGAAAAAAGGCGAAAACAAGTATTTTATATAAAATAAATGGGAAGTGCTTATGATACACAGGGCTTTAGCAAACTAAGAGGGTTATTCACTATTGAGTGGAAGGGTCCAGCCATACCTTCGACTCGCTTCGGCCGCCTAAGCCCTTCAGTTTAGTTGAACCGAAAGGCTGCTGTATTCACAATAGCCCGTACAGCAGCCGAGTGGCTCAGCCGAGCCGAAGGTGACAGCCGAAGCGTGGAGAAAGGTCTGCTCGAAAGGTCAACCTTTCTCAGCGCAAATGACAAGGTGGGCGGACCCAGCCGTGATCTCACGGCTCGCTCCGCCCAGTTGTAATGACAGATCAGTGTCCCCAAATTACCTGGGGATGCTGATCTGTCATTAAACAATAACAACTGGCCGTAGCAGTCCGTGACATCACGGCCAGCTCCGCCCAGTTGTTATTTATTGGCCGGGACTTGGTAGAAGACTCTGGCAGGTGCCGGCCAATAGGAAACAGTTGGGCGGAGCTAGCGGTGATGTCCGCTTACTCCGCCCAATTGTTTTTATTTTGCCGGCATCCGTCAGATTTGACATTATGCTGCGGGAGTTCGTTGCGTGCGGTCAGGTGCGTCGTTTTTTTACATTTTATTTCTTTCTTTTCTTTAAAATATTTTTATATTTTTTTTAACTTTCCTATTTTCTAACATTTTTAAAATCATTTTTCAACATTTTTTTTTTTTCATTTAACTTTTTTACTATTCTGCTCTCTACCTCTAGTCATTCGGCTATTCACTTACTGCCATTCGGCCCCTATAAGAATAGGGGCGAACGGCAGCGAGTGAGCTTTGGCTCTGCCGATCCAGATCAGTCCAACTCCTTCTGCACTTCTGCTCAGCCGAAAATCCAGAGCATGTTCGTCTGGCTGAAGGCAGCCGATGTAGGGCTGATTTTAGCCGTTGTAGGGCTGAAATCAGCCGTACAATGCTGAAGTGAATAGCCAAACATCGTTCGGCTCTGTTCACTTCAGCTCGGTTATTCACGCGGCTGCCATCGGCAGCTAAGTGAATAACCCCCTAAATGTTATTTGGCTAGGGCTTACATCTAGTTTAAATGACTTCCGGTCAAAATTTGAGTTTGGCGTATGTGTCTGTATGGCTGGGTTTGTCAGCTCCCTTGGTGGCAAGAAATGTGAATGATCTGCGTCTTTGGTAAATATCTGCAAAATTTGTTGGCGCTACGCTGATGACTAAAATAGGTCTACTTTAAAAACAAGAACACACAACCTCTCATAAATGTTTAGAAGATATAGACTGTAGAATGAAACATTATATTCATCCGAGGATTAATTGTAGCTTTGCTGAAAATACTATATTTTATCTTGCAAAACAAAACAAATGTTAAATGTTTCCGTTTCCAGCCCTAAAGGGAAAAAAAAATGCTTTTCTGTAACTTAATATATCAAAGGCAAAAAAAAAAAAGCAGAAGAACAAAAACTGCAGACTCAACTCCGCAGGAGCACGGCCTGGTCAGACCAGACGACTCCTGCAATTGCCTCCCAACCAATAGCCCCATTAGCCACTGGACACACTGCCATGATAAATAAATGGCATGGAGACGTCTGCTCCGGCAGAATCAGTACACACGCCTTCATACACAGCGTATCTCCCCGACTTCCTCTGTGGGACTTGGCAATGTCAGGTCTTTATTAGTGGTGGAAAGGTCTCCCAGTCTTTATCCTGTTGGCTGGTGCAGCCATGCACTTACACAGTTATCAAAGCATTTATTAAATCCCTTTCTGCATACCCGCTGTGTGCCAGCAAACTTGTCTTACTCATAGGGGATTGCTTTGCTATTACTTTCCAGCAGGGCCGCAAAAGTGCCGTTTGGGAACGTGGGCAAAACACCCTTGGCTTGTTCTAACTAACAATCATTAGGAAACACACAAAAGAATCTTGTAATCTGCACTGTGTATCTCGTGCGGCTTGTAAAATCACAGTGTTAAAATTAATGGCACCTGTGGGCAGGACGTTGTCCGATAAACTGGGAGATGATGGAATAATACAGGCTGACCCTGAACTAACAAATATCACCAAACATATCGGCGAGGCAGACAAGCCTATTTATCCAATTACATGTACAGACTACCTTATGTATTATAATAGGGATCGAATACCACTTCTTAGTGTTGGATTTCAAAGCCAAGAATAATTGAGATATTTTTATTTATCAGACTGTGTGCCAAATCCCTTCACTACAATGAAAGTTTATGGATTGCTGTCAATAACAGAACCGTTGTTTTTGACTTGGTTTATACCTGAAAGACTCCGGTACTAAAGTCTAAGTACCAAATCCAGTTACTATGTGATATACAAGTCTCAGAAAGGAAAGAAAAAACTTCCTGTACCCTCCCTGACTGAGCTAAATTCTCCTTAATTTGCGTTTCACGCACTCCCCCTCCCAGACACTGGTGCTCAGTGGGGGGTTTCAGCAACATAGGCAGATCTGTCAATCCAGACAGCCGTGGTCAGGTACAGATTGACAAGCTATAGACCTGTAAATGAGCAGTGACGATGTTAATATCCACGGCAAGAATGAGCGGGGCAACTCAGCTCTGGATTCAGTAGCAGTGCATCAAAGTTGCTACCACATCACAGGAAGATGTATTAGGTGGACTTCACTGGCAGGATGAACAGATATATGTTGGCCTTTGCAGGGGGACTAAGAGAAAACTGTAAGTGTAGATGCACCCATGATTTAATATTTATAAAAATTTGGCAAAACCTTATTCTTTTTTAAGATTATTGTTCATGTCTGAGTCTGTGATTTCCCAGAAAACACAGTCATACAAAGCAAATTGGGACTAGCTTGTCAGCATCAAGCTTTACTTAAAGCAACCCTATCACTAAATGAAGAAGTATTTTTGGTTCCTTTGTACAGAAGAGATATTATATTTACTTGTCCCACCATCTGTGCTGCCGATCTAGGGGTGCCTGGAGTATCCCCTTCATCAAAAGCATTTCCTGGTCCCCCATCAAGATTTGTAGTTCCTTCTACCAGATCCCACATCACTGCTGGACCCAGTAGTGATGTAGAGATCGGTGGAAGGACAAGGAATCCAAGTTTGTCGGATGAAGAGGATTCTCCAGCACAGCGGTTCTTGAAGACAGCAAAGATTGGTGGCATGAGCTGCGGAATAGTTAAAAGAGAACTATGGGGGTAACCATTTTATCCCATAGTTCTCTTTAGGGTCACGGGAGGTCTGATACTAACCTCCTCCTGTGACCCAAAGCTCAGTATATAGTGAGCTACTGCCCGCTATGTACTGAGAGCCCCACAGCCGGGGCGGATCCAGACAATGCTGTCGAGATCCACCCAGCTGTGTGAGTGACAGCTGAGTCTGCCTATCTAGAGGCCGAGCCAGCTGTGCCCACCTCCTCCCCTGTCCATTCCTCCAGTCAGTGCTGGAGGATCGGAGGGGGGAATCCTTGTGGGGAGTGGTGACTGACAGTCACCGCTCTCTGCAGGGAGATGATCGGAAAGCGAGTGACGGTATGCGTTCGCTCACTTCCTGATCTATAGAGCCGACCTGTGACCTATGAGTTTCAATGTCACACGTCGGCTCGAACTGAAAATCACTCCCCTCATAGTTCTTCTTTAAGTGTAATATCTCTTCTTCTTCTTCTCCTCACTTCCTGTTTTAATGATAACTGTAAAGTTTCTGGTTCCCATCAATTACTGTCCCAGTAACAATGGTGAGCAGAGAGAGAGAGAATCTCCCCAGTGGAAGCATAGACAGCAATAAAAACCTGACAGACACCTATCCTTTCCTCACACTATTCTAAACTAATGAAAGGAAAAGTTCTATCTACTATCTTCAATCTGAGAAATACTTGAATGTATTACAGATTTTGAGGCTGATTCATTGAAGGATAAGTGAATTTTTGTTTGAAGCCCAATACATCAGGTGCATTAAAAGAAAAGGTATGCAAAGTTTTACAATTTTGTTCTCCTTAGAAAGTAGTCAGAGTAGAAAAGCCTGTATACTGCCAGCATACTAAAGAGGAGGACACTTGCTCTCTGTGTGGAAGTGGTCTCTCTGCAGAGGTCTGACACACCTCCTGCTGAGTCAGAGCTAAAGCTCTGCTATTAGCAGGGAGCATAAAGTTTTGCCATAAGTCTGACACAGTAGGGAGTTATCAGACCTTTGCAGAAAGACCACTGCTTACATACAGACAGCAGGGATTCTTTACAGCATGCTGGCAGTGAACAGGCTTTTTTACTCTGGCTCTGACTGCTTTAAAAAAAAAACCCTAACTTTTAGGTCCTGCACACCTTTGTTTCAATGCATTTAGATGATATAAATGGAAAGATCAGTTAGGCGTTATAATAATACTTGTATAAAAAGCAACTCTGTAACAAAGAGCTAAAGTGCAGGAAAACATGGTAGCAAATTGATGTTTTGTAATGGAAATTCCTGTTCCAACTGGTCAGTGCATAAGTGCATATGCTTTCCCTTTTTCCTTAAATAATAATAAAGCACAGGCAGCAAACACTAGAGAAAAACAAAGAGAAGGGGTCTGTGTCAGGTATTCACTATGATCCAAACTAAAAAAGAGGAAAACCAGGAGGTGGGGTCTGTATCAGGCATGCACTATCATCAGTACTAAGACGGGGCCAAACAGGGAGGTGGGGTCTGTGTCAGGCATTCACTAACAGGCAAACTGACATTAAAGAAAACAAGGAGGTGGGGTCTGTGTCAGGTATTTACTATTAACCAAACTGAAATAGAGGAAAACCAAGAGACAGGGTCGGTGTCAGGCATTCACTATCATTCTCACTAAAATAGAGCAAAACTAGGAGGTGGGGTCTGTGTCAGGCATTTACTACCAGCCAAACTGACATTGAAGAAAACAACGAGGCAGACAGGGTCTGTGTCAGGTATTTACTACAAGCCAAACTGACATAGAAGAAAACAAGGAGGTGGGGTCTGTGTCAGGTATTTACTACAAGCCAAACTGACATAGAAGAAAACAAGGAGGTGGGGTCTGTGTCAGGTATTTACTACCAGCTAAACTGACATTGAAGAAAAGAAGGAGGCGGGGTCTGTGTCAGGTATTTAATACAAGCCAAACTGACATGGAAGAAAACAAGCGAGTGGGTTCTGTGTCAGGCATTCACTAGCATCCAACTTCATCACATTCCACATCAGCGCCGCAGAATTTGCATAGCTACCCTTTGATAAACACCACTATTGCAGGCAACCCCGTAAACAGTCAGGGAACTGAGCAAACCTATAAAAACAAAAATGACAGATCGCCTGCCCTAGTGTAAATCATTTTATTAAATAGTAAGTATAATATGATCTGAATCATACTCACAAACACAAAGTTATTCAAATGCCAGATGTGGCAAAGCCGCATCTGGCATTTGAATAACTGTATTTGTGAGTATGTTTCAGATCATATTATACTTACTATTTAATAAAATGATTTACACTAGGGCAGGCGATCTGTCATTTTTGTTTTTATATATTCACTACCAGCCAAACTGACATAGAAGAAAACAAGGAGGCGGGGTCTCTGTCAGGCATTCATTATGTGTTAAACTGACATAGAAGAAAACAAGGAGGCGGGGTCTGTGTCAGGCATTCATTATGTGTTAAACTGACATAGAAGAAAACAAGGAGGCGGGGTCTGTGTCAGGCATTCATTATGTGTTATACTGACATAGAAGAAAACAAGGAGATGGGGGTCTGTGTCAGGCATTCATTATGTGTTAAACTGACATAGAAGAAAACAAGGAGATGGGGGTCTGTGTCAGGCAATCACCATCAGCCCTACGGACATAGACACCATACACTGGTTTCCTCTGAAGTACGCTGACCTCTCTGTATATTACCTGTATAAAGTCCTGCACTTGCTGATGGCGCTGCTTCGCAGTTGTAAGTTCAACGTCAGAGAAGGCCTCCCGAAGACTCTGCTGTGACAGTAGAGACTCCAGCTCCAACATGGCGGATAACTGACAATACTGACTGATAAATTCACGATCGTATGTGAAAAAGTGAACTGAATGGAAAGAAAAAAACAAACACATAATTATGCAGCAATAGCACAACAATAAATAACTTCTATGCAAAAAAAAAGCTGCACATGTTTGTTATTTTAACATTAAGCTATAACATGGTGTGAGTGCCAACAACCACAAACTGTTTGTCATAAATCCTGCGACTTCATTAAAAAGTACAGTATAATTTTACTTGAATTGGGATTTGGATGATTGAGTTTGTTCATTTTTTCAATTAAGTGAATTATATTTTGGGGCCCCCTGCTAACGGATTGTGCTTTTTGTTCTTGACAGTTCTTGTGTTGCTGCCACCAAACAGCACGACAGCTCTGTCCTCACGTATGGGCTGGAAAGGTGTTTGTGTTTATGATTCAACTTCTAAAATGTAAATTATTCATCAGCTAAAAGTGGCCATAGACCTGAGATGGATGCATGTCTATGGTATAAACATGCATTTTTAGGGCAAGCATGTAGGTTTATGCATTGAGTAGACAGATCCCTTTGGCCAGTATGGGTCATAGCCTGCCAATGGAATTGTAGAAATGTCACCAGCACACCAGTCCTGCTGGTCAATGCTAAAGCCTGATGAAGGGACCCTGTGTGGTCCCAAAAGCGCTTGTTTATATGGCAAAGAACTTCAATAAATGAAGCTTTTGCTATCCTAAAAGGACTGGTGTGCTGGTGACATTTCTACAATTCTGTTGATATTTGCGGCGCCATCCGCAGTCACTGCGAGCACTCCCCACTACAAGGGACATTTCGGTATGGAGTGCAACAAGGATAGTATTTATTATATCCTGCCAATAGACACAAGATTGCCTTCTGGTTTACCAGCAATGAGCTTATCAGCTGACAATCATCTCATGTCTATGGGCACCTTAACATTTTAATAACCTAAATTAGCCTAAATAAAAAAAAACAAAAAACCATTTAAATAAATAATAAAAAATACTGTTTTTGCTGTCCAAGCAAATTCCTCTTAAAGGAGAACTATGGGGTTCTATCTTTTCTTTATGAATGCATTCCTTAGGCTAAATAAGTAAATTATGTACTTTACTCTAATTAGCCAAAATGCATAGTAAGGCTGTAAACCCTTATTTAAGGTGGTGGGCGGGGCTAAGCGCCGCAATGAGGAGACATCCCGACGTATCTGGCGGGATCCTCCCCACTGATCTTCCTCACTGTGACTGACAGTGATTCTTGAGAGCTGCTGCGCATCCACGAATATATGGACATGCGCAGCAGCTCTCTCCTTACCTGCAAGTCTCCGTGTGCCAGCCTTCAAGACACGCTGCTGTGTAGCCCCTGATCCCCTCCCTCCTCATCTGCCCCGCCTACTTCACGACACGTGTAGTGTACAGCACAGTCAGTGAGAAGCTCCTCCCCCTCTCTCATCAGCGATCCCCAGTGAATTGAGGATGTCAGCGTCGCACAGGGCAGGGAGAGAGAGAGAGGGGTAGGAGCCTTCTCTCTCTCTTCATCATTTACCACATATGGGCAAGTCCATATATGATGAATGATGTCACTGGGGATCCCTGCTGATTGGATGCTTGCCAGTCTGCAGGGATACCCAGTGACATCATTCACCATATATGGACTTGCCCATTTCTGGTAAATAATGGCGAGAGGGATGGCTCTTTATCCTCTCTCTCTCCCCCAGTGTTATGCTGACATCCTAATTACTGGGGATCGCTGATGAGAGAGGGGAAAGATCACTGAATGTGCAGGGAGGCTGAGTCCGTCTCTTGCTGCTGCCTTCTCACTTCAGACTCCGCCTCCCGCTCACAAATGCCAGCGTGCACGAGCTGACAAAACACAGCTGTGCACGATGAGAGGAACGGCCACAGCAATGAGATAATTTGAAAAAAAAGCCATGGGCGGGCTGGATCAAATGTTAACGCCCCCTAAGAGGAAAGGAGCTTGGAGCAGGGCTGAAGACGGCCATTTACTACAGGTTTTGAGGGTTTTATCTGTGATGTGCTGCGACTTTAGAAAAAAGGAACGATGCTACTACAATCAAGGTAAGGGGTATTTTTATTTGCCCTTAAGTCATAGTTCTCCTTTAAGCAACTCAAAAAAGACAACCACTTCACTTATCCATAGTGGTCACTGCTCATGTCCTTTTGCCTTTGCTGCCCTGCCATGTGGCCATAAGCAGAGAGATTGTGATAAAGGATGGCCTTACCAAGTTCAAAAATTTGGAGGGGCAATGTGAGGAATCCTGAGTAAGGAGTGTAGGGGTTGTTCTGGCCAGGAGCTGTGCAGACATCATCAGATGGAGGCATCAATAACAAAAAAGAGACCTGACCTCCGAACTCTAGAACCTCTTGACTGTAGAGACGGAAGTCTTTAGCCTGCATAAAAAGAGGACAAAATAATTAGTGACATTTTTTTTGCATTAAATAAATAAACCTGAACTGAGCTTCTTACACTGGCTGTTTTGCGCTCCTCTTTTGCAGGGCTGGATATCTGGATGGTCAAAATAGGCTTTGTCCTAGGGTGCAGGACTACCAAGGTCAACACACATCCCCCAACACATCATGTTGCTGATATTAATTCATCAATAACATGTTCCTGTTGCTGTCAGAGCTCAGATATTAATGGACTATTGTACTTATGGTTTACCTATTCATGGTCTATACACCACCATTTTGCTTTACCATACCAATGTTACCTTCCAGCCTGTTTTACTCTCTTACCCCCAGTCC